AGAACCCACTCCTTTTTGTAGAATAATTTTTCAGCACACACAGAACCCCACTCCTTTTTCCAGAACAATTTTTCAGCACACACAGAACCCCACTCCTTTTTCTAGAATCATTCTCCAGCACACACAGAATCTGTTCCTTTTTCCAGAATAATTTTTCAGCACACACAGAACACTCCTTTTTGTAGAATCATTTCCCAACACACACAGAATCTTTCCTTTTTCTAGAATCATTTTCCAGTTTGCTGTTGGTACCTCCTAGCAATATTTCCCTTCTCCAGCCCTCCATCCCAAGCACTAAAAGAAGCTGAACTCTTTTCCTGCCCTCCCTGCTGCCCAGCGTGTTCTCAGACACGGAAAAGCCGATCCCTGAGTGGATGAAGGTTTGATCAGAGCACTCAGTAAAGAATGCATAGCTGCCATCTCCAGGAGGATCCTTCTGTGAGCCAGGAAAACGTCTCTTACACAGGCTGACCGATTTCTCTTGGTGTTCAGAGTCTCAGTTTTTGTCTAGCACCATTTGAAATCGGTTATGATGTAGGGGGAAAAGCAACAGCAATGGGAAACTTCCTTCCCTCACCCCCCAAGCACAAACAAACACCATCAGAGCACGACCTGGCTCCCAAACACTGCTCTGCTGTTCTCTGACCTCGAGTTCCCCCCACAGGCCGAGCATCCTGCACAAAAGGAGGACAGTCAGCATCCCCTTCAAGTGAGGATGGGATGCTTCCAGACACAGAGAAGCATCTCTTCAAACATAACTCAGCTTCTTCAACTCCATGTGACAACACAGCCACCCAACTCCTGACCACTTCTGCTCCATGTGCTGTTTGTTTGCCTTAACCTGTTCTTTACACAGATTTTTTTTTTTTCCTTTGAAATAAAATTGTGTGCTCTATGTTCCTGGGCTCTGTCTCAGGTAGAGAGATCACCTGATTCCCTGCTGGACAACACCTAAGTGCTGCAAGTCTCTTCATTTCAGCTTCATTTTCACCACCCTCAGAAGTGTTTAGAATCAGAGAATCAGAATGGTTTGGCTTGGAAGGGACCTTACAATCATCCAGTTCCAATTTCTGCATTTTATACTGATTTTAAGTGTGACACACCAGCCACTGTCACTTCAGAATATTGAACCCCAAACCAGGTAGCTCTGGAGCTGTTTTGTTACTCCCTCTGCTCCTGTTACCAGCAGATGGCAACAACACATTTTTATTCCAGGCAGCATTTCCCTCAGCACAGAGCTCACGTCTCTTTAATTATCAGTTCCAGACTCCAAAATGAAATAATTCATGCAGCACTGAGTTTTAGAAAAGCAGCACAGGACTCATGGCAATTAGGCCAAATTAATTTGTGGTGTTGAAAGTCAGATTAATAGAATCACAGAAATCCCAGAATGGTTTGGGTTGGAAGAGACTTTAAAGCTCATCCCACTCCACAGCCATGGGCAGGAACATCCTCTGGCAGCTCTGCTCATCCCACCAGTGCTCACTGCAAACCCAAACTCCAGTCCCAAACCTGAGCAGTCTGGCATCATCTCCACACCAACTCACTCTGACTATCACAACCACAAACTGGAAACACAGCAGACGAAGTTATTTTTTCTATTCCACCCTCTGAAAGGCTTCACTCTATCAGGCAGCTGACTCCACACATGAAGCTCAGCACATTCCAAGTGTGAAATTCCCACAGTTCCTAAATCCAGTCCTTCACAGGTCACCTGCACCCAGCAGAGCTGTTTTCCCTAAGGAAAACTGGACAAAAGGGCCAAAAACACCCTCTGGGCTTTGCTTTGCCTCAGGACAGCCCCAAGATAAACTTCCTCTTCTCCATCAACTTTTCACCATTTTTTTCAGCAAAATTTTGGACGTTCTGGGAAGTTCTCTGCAGTTATAAAAGGAAACCCCAACAGGTGCTCAGCAAATTAAAACACTGAGTAACTCTGTGCACAAACTGCAAACTTCAATCTCAGCAGTTCCCACCTGATGTTTGGGACACGAAAAATCACCTGGATAACAAAAAGAGCTGCTCAGCACAGTGATGAATGAAAGACAAACACTTACTGCTAAATAATTTAACGTTTTTATTTGGAATATTACAAATCATGGCTAATCTTTACATCCAGAAAGGAAAATTAAAATATGGCCACTTTGTACAGTGATTCCACTTCCCCATTAGGAACATTCCAGTGTATTTCAGCACATTGCAGATGCCACACAAAGCAAGCTGAGCTCCTGACCAGCACCACACTCAGCCCCAGTCACACATCCCAGTGTTTACAAACATCTCCCAAACTGAGCGATCAGCCAGGCCACGAACAGCAAATCCTCCTGCAGAGCCAAAGCTCCTTTCTAACAAGCACAGCCTATTATCAACTCCAACAATAGGACTGCTGGGATTGTCCCAAAAAGCCCCACAAAGCCCCAAACAGTTCTGTGCCACTCCAACAAGCTGTTGATGACAGGGAGAGCAGTGCCAAGCAGCCACAGACAAGCCAGAGCAGTGCCAAAGCTGCCTCAGGCATCTGAAGTGACATTATTTGGGTTTTCTGTCAAAATCAGAAGCTGCCTGCATGCTTAGAGTGAGATTCATGAAGCTAAAAGCTGTTCTAGTGAAGATCTGGGCTTTGCTGAGGAATTAGAAGGAGCAGTGAGTCTCAGCTTGTGGCAAACACCGTGGTGGGAGCTCCTGGAGTCAGAATAAAACATTTGATGGACAAGCAGCAAACAAGAGACCACCACATCTCACACAACTGAACTGGTCTGGCTTTCCTTTAACGTGAAAAGTGAGTGACAGGGAAAAGCTTCTGCTTCTAAACAGGAATCTGATGCTAAACCCAGCTTTTCAGAGCTTGATTTAACAGCCCAGCCAGAGGTTAGAAACGTGGAATATGTGATTTCAAGTGAAGAAGCAAGGTGGATCACACAGCACCCATGTCTATCCTTGAAAACAACAGAAGATCTGCAGAACTGACATCAAGGCTCACTAAAAATCAAGTACCTAAGGAATTTCCCCTGTGCTCATGACAGGACACGGCCACCACTGAGCTCTGAGCAGTTCCTTTAATGAGGGACCTCCTTCTACAGGGTCCAGAATCCTTCACTTCTCAGTTCCAACAAATCCCCTGCAGTCTTTGGGGATTATAGCAAAGAATCATAAATAGATATTGCTTTTTTCCTTCTTAAAAGCAAAGGAAAAGCTATGAAAGTCTGATTTCAAGGCACACTTTAATTCATTATATATACAGCAACCAACTTTGGCAGACAAAGAGGTAGAGTATATAAGATCTTAATTGTGATATTTCCAAAAGACATCGCCTTCAACGGCATCAGACTGGTCAGGGAATGAGCAACAACACATTTCAGAGTACAAAGGGAACAACAGAACCATTTACACCATCTCAAGTGCAAAACGGGATGGGAAGGACAAGCAGCAGAGCTCGAGAGGGGAATTTTGGACATCTGCAAGCAAAGAGGTGGCACTGGAGGCAGCAGGCGGCAGCAGCTGGCACTGGGACAGTGACATTCAGCACTCCCACACACTCTGGCATGCCACAGGTATTGCCTCTCCCCCAGCTCACGAGCACAGAAGGACAAGGAGGGGCCCAGGAGGCAAAGCAGCATCGATCTGTGTTGGATGCACACACACTTTGATCCTAGCACACACCTCCTCCCCCAGCTCAGCAGAGCAAGACAGGCACAGAGCTCATGGGCAGCAATCACTCATTCTGCAGCTCTGCCAGGGATTCTCCTCTGCACAGCCCTCCCACCCCAAAAGGTCACTCATGCATTATACATCCTATATTCGGCAGAACTGGGAGTGCTGTCACGTTTCCTACAAACAGAAAAACAGTGAGATCAGAAGTTTTACATTGCAAGAGTTTTTACATTTACACTGAAAGTACATCCTTAGGTTGATCATTAAAGCTGCAGCTGAAGTCACTGGGGCATTTTTTAGCCTCTCTTTACCAAGCAACTGTTGGACTGGGGAGATTTGAGCTTCACTCAGCTCCTGAACTGCAGGAATGACCCAAGGAGTAGCAGCACCTTTGAGCCAAGGGGATCATTTCAAGTGATGACTGATATTTCCAAAATCTAACACCACAACAGTTCCAGGATTCCCATAACTCTCCCAAGTGCACCCTGATGTTCCTTTTAATTCCAGTGTGCTGTTTAGTTCCTATCTTCTCACCAGAAATGAAATATTAGTTTGTGTGGGTTTTGATTCTGCAGTCCACTAACAGCAACTCTGTAATACTTAAACATACAAGAACTAAAATTCACAATAATATTTTTATATGTCCCAAGCTCTCGAGTAACTCCTGTTGTGCTTTAACAAAAAAACAACCCCACACCAAACTTCAGTGCCATTATTCCAAGTCTCTGAGGATTTCCACATTCCACAGGAAAAACTCCAGAATTACCAGGGTTCTGACACACCAGACCAGCAATTTCTCTTACCATGTGTAAAGCTAAGACTGCAATGAAGAATTCAATTCTATCTCCTGATTCCTTTTTTCTCTCCAAAAATAAACCAAACTAACCCAGAAAACAGATCCCATCTTAATTAGAAACATCTTTCTTCAGAGTGAAGATGATATTCCTTAATCTAACATTCCTTTGGAATAAACTCCAAGCTTAAACTTAATACAAAAATACTGAAAATTCCCTTGTCCTTTACAAGTCAATCAAATCAAGAGTACGCACATGAAAAGACCTTTGCATTAAGCTGGAATAAGAG